CCCCCTCCAAAAATACATAGCTATAGTATTACCGACAAAGACAAGGGAGACTGGAATGGCCATTTCTGGCTTATTAGCCGACAAGGCGACGGGCTCGTGACCCAGTGGTTAGAGGCGTGGACTTCTAACTAACAGGTCACGAATTCGAGCCTCGGGTGTTCCACACTTCGGGGTTGGGTATGACTGGCTGACGACGGCTAATAAGCCAGAAATAGCCATTTTAGTCCCCCTTGTCTTTTTCGGTAATACCTTTCTGCCTATATCATGCGCCGCTGTGCGGCTGCTGCTTGGGCTCGAGAGAGAGCCCGTAAGACACGGCTGAACGAGTGAGTTCCGTAAGAACGATCGGTGAGTGCATCCTACCATTATGCATAGCTATTCCGTTTACCGTTGCGCTAGTAAACAAACCAGGAATGACCATTTACATTGTTTTCACCTTTACGGTCTTGTTCACTTTCTTTTATTAAATTAGTGTTCTTGTGTGACCATCACGTGTTCATGTCTAGCCTTACGATTTCGTCTTCTTCTTTTCCTTTAGACTGACGAAGAGCCTCTACAGTCACCGACTGCCGAAGCCAGGTCACCCTGTCCGAGTGAAAAAACATTCTCCCCACCGTTTTGTAGTCATTCAAACCCAGCCACACCATCTCCCTCACGATCGAAGTCGTCCACCGACGGTGCCCCCGCCACCTCCTCGTAGACTTCTCTGGCACCGCCACTCAGCTTCTTCTCCTCCCCCCCCCCCTTCGTTCCGTCCCCCTCCCCATTCTTCTCCCCAAGTTCCCTACTCTTTTGGCTTCTTCAGTCTCACGTCGCGCCATTGACCTCACTCTCGTCTCCCCCCGCCCTTCACTGTCCGCTTTTTGCAATCCTCAACCTGAGCTGCCATCACGGTCTGTGCACTCCTCGGCCTGCCCATCCGGCTTCGTCCTTCGGCGCGGCGGACCTGAGCGATGATAACGCACTGTGCGCAAGGGGGGCGGGGCGTGGCGCCGCGCGAATTATCGATCGTTCTCTTCTTGCGCTGCCACCCATCACGACCCCTTTTTCTACTGACATGTGCTCTGAAACTCGTCTCCGCACGCACGTGCACTGCACCCTCCGTGGGAAGTATCGATTAGCGTGACACGTGCTCGGTCATGGACTCGCACGTTATCGCACGAATATCGACTTGTCCATTCAGTTTATCCCCCCTCCCCCTCATAGTCTCCTCAGTCATTGGCGTTTTTGCGTTCTCGTGCTAGTTCCCTTTTGCTGAGAACTCTTCAATCAATTATCCTTACCCATCTGCACCCCGTATCGATCAATTTCGTACTGAAAAGCCTACACGCGCGCGCGCCTCAAAAAGGGCTTATTATGTCTTTTTAGTAATTTAGACACACTGTAATAAAACCTTTTTTATTTAACTCTGAATATGTGCAGGAGGGGCTGTCGGAAATTGCGTCAGGTTGTGTTTCGCTTACTACCTGCGCCTGTCTGAATAAGGATGCTGCCGGCAAGTCCTTATTTGGCCTTACGAATGTGAACTGGTGCGGGATTTGCCGGTTGTTTTAAGTTCATGCTTGGTGTCTTCGTTTGTTCCAGTATGCGTCTTCTGCTCTGGTATCGCCGACGTTTTGTTCTTAAACTTCCTTTTCCAAGTGCATTCTCCAATTCCGTGTAAAGCAGTGGAAACATGCCCGTCATACTTAACGCGTAAATTAATGTCTGTTATTTGTGTCGTCAGCCGGTCATATCCAATCTCAGGTCTGGATGATCTGAGATTCGAATCTAGGTTCTTTGTTCATTACGCCCTTAGTGTTCCAACGCTCTGCCATTGGGCCACGGTCTTGTCGTCCTGCCAGTTGTGATTAGGAATATTCAATGTCGCAGGAAGGCGTATTCGCGGATCGGGTTTCGGGGCGAGTACATCTCGTTGGCCTTACGGCCCTGTTTGTGATGGGGTGGACAATCTGTGTTTCCATGTCTTCCATAGAGACATCGGACTTCGTAGGGCGGTCCAGTCTACTGCGAGTCGTCTTACTACGAAACTAAAGTGTTGGAATCTGTCGATCGCTTCAAATGTCCTGGCGCCTCCACTCAAAGAAGTACTACTTACCCTCTCACTTGTCAGAGTCGGGAAATGTGCCCTGGAGAAGTGATAGCAGTCACACCGTCTGCAAGCTGGCAGAGGCGCAAGTTAATGAAGTTATGCTCCTTGACTGCCTTTGTGCATACTCGGGACTACACCACCCATCGTAAAGCCTGGTTCATCTATTGTCAAGCTATTGTTTGGCTAATCTTGTATCGTAGAGGAGTTTCCTGCTTTGGGACTTGAGACGCAATCTCTGTGGCGTTTCGGAATGGAGTAATTTTGGAGGAACTGGACCCAACTAACAGCACTGTTTGCTAATTGGATACCAGATGTGTAGAGGCTCGCCTATTTCGTGGACCGGATTCTTGTTTATTTTTCTTGCTGTCTGCCTAGTATTGCTTCTCAGATTTAATAACACCCGGAAATTCACTCCATAAGATCATGTTACGAAGGGAGATTCGTTACCGCACATTCCTCTGACACAAGCGCATTGCCAATAAAGCGTAGCACTCTATCAGACGAACTGCTGACAACTAATAGTATTCTTTCCATGCCGACACCAGGATGTAAGGGTGGAATATAACAGTCTAAAAGCGAATTCGATACGACACCTAGGGACCATTTACTCTCACAAAACACATTGTATGGTTTACCATACCGACAGTACAGGGACTGAAAGGCCAGACACGCCTGTTTCGTTTTATCAGAGTGACATCTGAGCCACTGCCCAAAAATGTGTAAGTTCCTGCCGGAGTTGCCAAGTTGACAGGAATAACTCCTGTATAAGCCAAGACATGTTTCGGTGTATATATTGGTAAAATAAGGTAATAATAAAAAAACGTACAAACCTCAACAATGGACACCCTAGACAAAGAGTTCCTTTTTTACTGTTCGAGCAATGCGAATTCCCAGCTCAAGATCAGAATATAAAAATTAGTTAATTAAAAGGACGCCGATCACGCTTGAAAGAGGGTTACAAAAGTGGAGAAGGAGAATGTCAACAGGGGTCAAATGGGGGAACACTAGCGAGGAGGGCGTGGAGAATTCCAAGCGTTGACCAGCTGGAATCGACAGCGAATTCGATACACCTAGGGACCATTTACTCTCAAAACAACACATTGTGTGGTTTACCATACAGACAGTACAGGGACTAAAAGCCCAGACACACCTGTTTCGCCGATATTCTGTTTCTGCACGGCGCATCTGCGAGGGGGTCGACGCATCCGTGATTCCCCCTAGCGTTTCCCACGTACCTTCTGGTAAATGCTCCAGTTTTGTAATGCCAGCTTTTAAACCTCCTCAAAGATGAATACGCTGACTTGGAGTAAATCATTCGGAATGAAACTTTCCAGGCTCGGCCCGAAAGTCCCTCGCACCAGTGTCATCTGGCGACAGAATATTGGCAAAACAGGTGTCGGGGCGGTTATATTGTGTCTGTACTGTCAGCACGGTTAACAGTTTGTGGATATTGTACGGTTAATCCGCCGGAACTGATGGATTTCGGCTGAAACATTTATATCGGCTTTTTGTCTGAGCCTACAAGGCTTCATTTCAAAGTATTCACTCCAAGCTGGCGGCTTCATTTCTGAGGTGATTAAAAAAAACATAGAAATCCCTCAAAGTAGATGGGTTTCAGGTATCCTTTTTAGGTGCTCTAAATTAAAATGTCCGTTTCTGATTGCGATTGACCATCCTCTCCCAGTCATATAGCTGCCGTATAGTACATCGCAGGGTAAATTTTATTGCGTTTCGGGGCCCGCTTTCTCGTCATCTCAGGGCGCGCTCATTATAAAGATGTGTCAAAGGGCGCGACTTTGCTTGCTTGGTCTGCTTTCGCTCCGCAACTTTGGCGGAGCCCTATCGTTAAGACACGACATGTGTTAACACCCAGCTCCCGACTCTGGATGGTATGTGCACTTCGTAGGCCACTCTGCCGGAGATCACTCTCGGAGTCTAACATTCAATGCTGATGCGCCGGCAAATACATCCAAGTGGGCGTGCTTTTTGCATCTTAAATAAATCCCCCTGTCGGCCTGGGACTGTGCGTTAACTGCCCACCAAATCCGTCCATATCGAAGTCAAGCGCCTGGCAACATCCACTAATCCACCTCAGCACCAAGCCCCCCCCCCCGGACGGTTGCGGCAGCTGACATCGATTTCGCGATAGCAACCTCGTTAGCTGAGGCCCAGACTGGTAAGATGTAGTTATGCAGCCCCCCCCCCCCCGATGGACGCAGTACTGTTGGGGTTGTGGCTATGGGTTAGGACAACCATTTCTCAACCACTCAAAGTACGACCGCGCATTCCCAATAGCTTTTCATTTGCATACAACCACTTGACCTCGTCGCCTGTGCGTTCCCCGGCCCTACCTGTAAATGCTTCTATTACCACCGGTCCCGTCTTACAGGCGGTTGCGGTTTGTTTACTTCAGGTGGGGTTACATAACTACGTCTGGCTCCCAAATCTCCGCCCGCCATTCTCGCCATGTTATTGATTTCCTATGATCAACCTCCCGGAACCCAAGACGCGGGGTTGTATTTGAAAAGCAAAGAATGCCTCCGAATTCCAACCGCTGAATAAATATCTCCGATATAGCGACTTATTTTTAATGTAATTTTATGAACTAAGGTCTGATTCAGTAATATAACTGAGGGAAGTACGGCTATGTAGAGGACATCAACCTGGCTTAATTATAGGCAGTTTCCCACTGCTGTTTTGGGAATGTCACTAAGTGGTATTCAATATAAGAAACGAGTGAAAGAGAGGGAAACTGTGTTGACCTATTGTTTACTTCAGCGCACTAAGGTCCACAACAAGTAGCTCGCGTGATAAGGTCCATTGAAAGTAGAGTAAAAAAGTGGTCATTAGAAAGTGGTGACAAGTTCAACGGAGAAATTGGGGAAAAAACTTGCACATTCCGGGGAGATCAGCTTAATTGCTTCTCCAAAAGCTTGATTTCTAACTCAAGTTTCCGACGCTTTAACAGGTAGACCTGCTCTTTTAGCCTGTCAACGTTCTCGTCCATCCGTGTTTCTCCCTGCGCGGGACCCTGTAGTGCATTTTTGGCAGGCACATGATCTGAGGATATAGTCGAGCAATTAGCTGCTGCGATTTCTGCGGGACCTCGGGTTTCGCTGGACCCTATACTGAGACTGGTCAATGGGGTTTGCATTTGTTCTTTTAGAACGGGGCCCAGGATTTGAGGTTTGAATAGGGATTCTCGCCCCTGCTCCCTCAACGTACTGGTAAGGAGATCCCTTGAGTTTAGGCCGACACCTTCAGTACCACTGATCGCTGTTGTAGGATTTAGAGTTGACATCAGTTTCCAGAACGCGGTGACTGCCATTTGTTGGAATTCAGCCTGACGAGTAAAATCCACCAGTCCGAAGTGGGTATTGTTGATCTCATGTCCACAAAGGAAGCTTGACCCCGCTCCAACTCCTTGCCCCATTTCCAAGTGCCTTTTACTATTATCTATAACTTGAAATCCTTCCGTGTCAGCCGCACTTTCGTATTCGGCACCGGTCCCTATAGTTTCAACCACTTCTGGATTGTCATTCTCGAGGTCGACTCGTGTACCTCGATCTTGGGCATTGTGCATTGTCAGAAATTTTTTGAAATCCAAGTCTTCAAGCTCAGGTGAGTATAATTTGTTGACTTGGTTGCTAAATTCACAAATATCCTTGGATATGTGCTCGAGGTAACCGCGATTTCTGTTTGGTAAACCGCTCTGGGTCTCGCTAATATCCAGTTCGGTGTGCTCCAGTCGTTTCCTAGCCCTGTTCTTAGTTCTCTTCCACCAGTTCCTCAGTCGAATTGGGCTCTTGCCTGTAGTTGGTTTGAATTTGTCGTGAACCACCCCTGCAATCCAATTCCATATGACAGTCTTTCGGCGTTTGGTCTCAGCATTAGTGAGAGGTGATTCGACTATGTAAGGGTAGCATCGGACAGCAGTAAAAAGGAACTCCAGTTCTTCCAAAGTGTATCGTTCCGTTGGTTGTTGCTCCTTCAGCCGACCCTCCACAGCATTTGCAGGGGAGTTTTTTGTCATCCCTCCGAATCAGCAGTCAATACTGAGGTTTCGTGTCCCTTACCTCAGGCAACTCGCTACGGCCGGTTTTGCACCAATGAAACTCAGGCCACGCGAACATAAAAATCTCATTGGTTGCCGAGCTCCCAGTCTACGACACCAAGATAAATTGAATGCATAATGGTTACTTAAACATTTGCAGTAAGCTTATCTAATTTCCAGAAGACTAATTGGCGAGCACGCGTTTTCTTTTGATGAATTCTCGTCAGGCCAGTAGATTTATAAGGGAACGGGGTCAAGTAAAACATGTCACTTACTAGAGAAATGTATTAAAGTTTGCCTTAGAACTCAGGCCGGATATGGCAATATGGAGGTGGCGGGGGTAGTACGAGTCATGCCAGGGGTCGGGTGAGAGCGGAAATGTGCGGAGAGGTACATGTAGTTAGTCGACTTTTGACCACGGTAGGCACGGAGCCTCAACGAGGATTTTCTGGACTCACAAGGCTAGCTTTCGTAACCTGCTACCGGCCGCTTCTGCCACTGCTTACAGACGTTGGCCCAGGAGTTTAGGGTAGCCCGGTGGGACCTTATAAATCACACGAAAAGCTTCGTTGTGGTCCACACGGTGCCGGGAATCAACGCGTGCGGAATAGCGCTGTATATGCCCCAGGTTTCACCTTTTCCCAGCCATACCGGGAGGTGTTCTCGTACTGTTCGGGACAAGCACTGACTCATGCGACTAACATAACCTGATCCACAGGAGCAAGTGAAGGAGAATATGCACACTGATGTAGTCTTAGATGGTAACCTATCCTTACCTTTCCCACGTAAAATAGCGTCAGTAGAGATAAATACTCGAACCCTTGCTGCTGCTGCGAAGGTTCGTGAGACAGCTTGATCAAGGCGTCTTCTCAGACGCCCACTTGCAGCGTCCCCTTGAAAAGGGACTATGAGGAAGGGAGTTTTCTTCTTGGCAGTCAGTGGGGTGGGTTTTTCCAGTCGCTCGGCAATATTCTTTGCAATAAACCTGTCTGGATATCCGTTTTCAGGAAGCAAGTCCTGGATATTTCTAGGCCCCTCCTCCTTGTTGTCTGCCGAACAAATTTTTCTAGTCTTTAGCGCCAAACACCAGACTAGATTTCGTTTTTATCGGAGGGGTACAAAACTGTCGAAGTTTCGGCATTGTCCAGACCAGATTTTCTTCCGATAGACGCTCCCCCGGACGCTACCGTCAGATCTCCTCTTTAGAAGAACATCTAACAATGGGAGTGAGCCAGCCGTTTCCATACCCAACATGCACTTGATCGACGGATATGCCTGATTTACAGCATTTAAGGGGGCAGCCACGCCGGTTTCTGTGGTGGCGATTGCAGAGATGTCATCAAAGTACTGACCGTAAAGTCCAAACTTATTGATTTGATCTCTCAGATTTCTCCAGCTTGCTCATGAAGGCATCGGCTAGGAGATGTCCAAGAGGCACGCCCATAGCAATTTTGTCCATTTCTTTAAAAGAAGGCGAAGGCACGATCATTGGGACAGTAGGTTTATTTGCCTGAGCTTTCGAACTCGAACTGATGATGAACTCTAGTTCGAGTTCGAAAGCTCAGGCAAATAAACCTACTGTCCCAGTGATCGTGCCTTCGCCTTCTTTTAAACAAGACCCTGGGATGCGCATATTCTCTTCCATTGTCCATTTCTTTATAGGGCTGGTTGTCAAGACTAAACTGCAAATTTAATGTGCATATTAACCATAATTCCTTGAGTGTGTTCGTTGGAATTCCTATTTCCTGCTGACTGGTTTCGCAATATTTAATTTTGAAAATGGCTACAGTTCAACAATTGTCTTCCGTCTCTATGTAAACCTACCTGAAATTTAGCAATTGCCTGCAGCACATATAGGTCTGTGTTCGATACTTTAATTTATGTCAAGTAAAAGGAGCGTTTTCAGTTACTCTTACATAGGGATAGTTTTTATACAAAATACCACTGTCCGCGCATTGGAAAGTTGACTTTGGGACGACAACATACACCAATGTGCAGATTTCATGGACAAAAACTTTCCTCAAGTAGATTTCGAAAGAGGGAAGAAAGTACGAAGATCAGATGTGTATTCAACCCGGCGTTTTGTTCTCGAGCAGAGTGTGATGCTAAAGGGTAGCCTCGGAAATTTATTAACTGGAGGACCGCATAAAGTACAACTATTGTTCCAGTTTTTATCGATCTGCGTTTGCGGCGTAATTCCCAAAGACAATCCGGAATTCGAATAGGTCATGATGCTGTCGTCACTAAACCCCTTGCCGTTTCCGTCGTGGAACCAAGACGAGTTCGCAGTTAACATAAACCAGACAAGCCCCCTGGACCGAATGGGATTTCCGGGCTGATACTTCAGGAACTATCGACAGAGCTGACAAAGATTCTCTCATTACTCTTCGAGATGCCAATGAGAACAGAGAGCTTGCCTTATCAGTGGAAGACAGCCGGCATAACTATAAGGGAAGGTAGCAAGATGGCAGCTAGCAGCCTTGGGTCTATAGTACTGACTTGCCCTTCTTGTAAAACAGTTGAAGTTCTTGTAAAGCATGTTCGGCTACAATTTTGTAATGAAAATGGTGCCTTACAGGCTTTTCAGAATGATTTTCGGGAGGGGACGTTCCTGCCACTCAAATCTGTCTATTTTTCCTAGCGTCTGGACCAGTGCTTTAAGAGAGGGCTTTAAAGTGGATATAGTGTATATCGATTTACTCAAAACCTTTGATAATGTGCTCCCTCGAGGTCATTTGCATAAAATGAGCGCTACTGGCATTAGCAGAAAACTTTTTAAAGACATTTCTGGTGGATTGAAGACAACGCGTCTGCATCTTACTGGTTGATCGTGACTAGTGGTACTACTCCGGACTCCATTCTCGGATCCTTACTACTCGTCCTTTATGCTAACGACGGTCTTCAGGGATTGGACTACAATAGGATCAGGTTTGCCGATGATGTTAGGCTCTGGCAAGTCATTAAGGATCCGAACGACCAGGAAGTCCTTCAAAATAATCTGCACAGACTATAAACGTGGTCCGAGAGATGACTGTTGGACTTCACTGTGCACATGTGTGCTTTTCCCCTCTGTGTCCAACTGACGGCGTACAGACATATCAACTGAAAGGCACTCAAGTTTTCATACAATCTTCACCAAAGGACCTCGTTGTCTGGATACAGAGCAACCTGAAGCCGTCATTTAAATGCCTCCAGGCTGTAAACAAAACCATGGGAGTACTGCAGAGATCTCTTTGGTAAAGTATATGGCACCTTCGTTTGACCTCACCGAAAATATGGGATACAGGCGTGATGGCGATGGCTCGTAGAAGTAAAATATGCCTCGAGAAAGCTTAACGCCGTGAAACAAAGCTAGTAGAGGTGTGTACAATGAAACTCTTGTATAGAAGGACTGTAATGCTGATATAAGAGGACAAGTGAATTCCAGGCAGCAGTTCAGAAGAAGATGCTGTCACCGGGACGAGAGATCTACTGGCCTGACCTTTCGGATTCTCACTGGAATGCAACATCAGAGACAGTTGCCAAGTCATCACACGGCTAGTACAATTGACGGTACTCATGTTAACAGAAACGAAGAGACGAGTCCCAGGAAGCAGTCTTTAAGAAGGAGACACGATCGCTGAGGCAAGAACTTTAGTAGCCTGACGTTTCGGATTCCTGCTCGAAGCTATCATCAGAGAGAAAAGCAGATACGGGCACAAAATTTTGACGAGCGCTTCCGTATGTCAAGAACATTTCGGAAGTTATCGGCCGCCTTCTCGCACCACTTGGGGTTGGAGATGCACACAGACCAGAGGCAACCATCAGGTGTCAGATAATGAATCCAAAGGACCCGCTGCCACGGCAAGAAACTTCTGGAGTCGTTTATCGGATCTGGTGCAATTGCAGACAAAGCAGCTACGTCGGGGAAACCGGAAGACAGCTGCGAACGCGAATGGCCGAGCATGCCACAGCAGTGCGGAAAAATGACACCAGCTCCCAAGTTGTGACTTATTCAACAAGATCCGGCCGCACATTCAAATTCGGCGAGGCCGAAATTTTCGCAAGAAGTGACAACCGCGTGAGCCGGGAGCCGCTTAAGCCCTGGTTTACTAGCCCCCAGTCCATTAACAAGTGCAATGAACTTCCCCTTCCATATTCGCTGCTGAGACTTTGCCTAGGCGGAGTAATTAGCCACGCGGGGAGTGCGCAGTTGACCACTCTTCCCAATGCCAGAATCGGTGGGTCAGATGGTCGAGCAATCATCACACCAACATCCAACACTCGTGATGTAATTGCAGCAATTACCGACACAAATGTCGGCCATCAAACAGTCATCACACCAAGTGCAACGATCCCTGATGAAGGGGGATGGAGCCGTGAATATTCATAAGTATGCGGTAGCATGGCGACTGCACCCTATAAGTACTGCAGCCCCTTATGCATGAACCACCCGTATCTGCTTTTGTCTCTGATGATGGGTTTGAGCAGGAATCCGAACCGCCAGGCTAATAAAACTCTTGTCCCAGTGATTTTGTCTCCTTCTTCAAAGTACTCATGTTCATCGCTGGGGGTCGTAGTTGATGTGGTGGTTGCGCGTCGGTCCCTACCGCGGTTCTTAACTGCCGTGATTTCACCACCTTTGTCGACTCTTGGCGTGGTGATTACTCGGCAGTTTGGTTTGCTGTCATCGTGACCACTGGTCCTCTGCACCCCCTCCCTACGCGGCTGGTGATTTTTGGAAAGGCAAATCGTCGCACACAATATGAAGGCGGAAAGTCATTTCGCTTGTTAATTGGAAGCGGGCCAGAGAACCATGGCTCAAGCAGCTCACAGCTCACGCAGTTGTCACCTCTTGCGAGGATATCGGTCTCGTCAACCTTGAAGGTGACGTGGAGCTGCCTAGCAGCAAAGAAATAAGTAATATTTCTAGGCCAAATCACATCTTGTGTCTGTATAGACCTTGACCCTAATTCAGTCTCCTGCCTTAAGTTAACATG